AAAATTGGACCAGAAATCAAAAATTTTGATTTCGGTCCTATGAGAGATACGTGATTTAAAGCATGTGTATATCAAATACATTTCCCCCCCCCCGAAAAATCAGTCACAATAAGCACACCAGTCGGTCTTAAAAGGAATTGTACACTTTCTTGCTCTATTGGTGTGTGTGACTTAGTGATACCATCAGTACCTAAAGGTGCTAATCTCATTTTATTTTACTGACTCCTGGTTTGACTAGTTACAAGCAAAAGGCTACAACAAAATAATTCTCATACAGAGGAGCCCCCCGAGCTCCGGGGAGCAGGGAGTGTGTGAGCTGCTGTGGGAGGGTTATTTTCTCAGAGAAATGAAATTTCCAGTTGACCCATGTGCCCAGTGCATTCTCCAGAATGATCCACATTCTCATCCATATTCATGAATCCTGCTCTGTCTCCGCTCATTTGTATGCACAAATTCTTCCCTGTGTGCAGACAGGTCAATGCTACAGTTGATGTGGTCGATAGAAATTCTACAGGGTCATGAGAAAAAAAAAAAAGCAGCATCTTATCCACAAAAGTCCAGAGAAGTTTGCTCCTTAACATGCCATTAAAGCAAAAATGCACATTTTAAACAGCCCTTGTCTACAGAATTCTGCTTATAGCTAATAACCAGTCACCCAACTGGGTGGATCTAAAAAGGAAATACCAAGGCTTTATATTCACAATTACATTCAGCAAAAGCCTTCCACGGGTCTACAAATAGCCACCAGGGCTGAGGCCTGGGGTTCAAATGTCAGTTCTAGATGGTGGCCAATGAAGCAGGAGAGCTCTCTCTCAGGGAGCTTTCTCCCACCCCTCAAAGTTCACACCAACGTGCCTCAAAATAACATCCGGCCCATTGGAAAAAAAACAAGCGTTCTGACGGGAGAACATTCTACTGATAAGCTGAGTCTTAAGAGCCTCCCCATCGATTCTTCCCTTTGTTTTCCCTGAGGAAATGAATATTATGTACAGTATTTTGCTACTCTGTTCCAGGAATCCTCTCCTATGGGTACAAATCTTGACACTTCTCTGACCGTTCTCCAGCCAACGCTGCCTTCCATTTCCTGGTGAAGTCTGAGAAAGGCAGGAACGGACTCAGCCGGCTATTCAGGACCCCCAGGGCTGCCGCAGGGGGTGACTCAGTGGGGACTCCAGGGAGATGACGAGAGATGATGGCGGTGGCAGGAATGAGCTTGCGCTTGGAGAGAGGGCGTCTCAGCTGAAGGAACCCTTGGCAAGACACACGGTCACCACTATGTCTTTAGGAAGCTTCAAGGTGAGCCCAACTGTGACACCTCAATTTTGACCGAAAATTCTGTTTCGCAGCATGGCTGTGATCAGACTCAGGGATGGTCCCCTAAGCAGTCCTCGTGGGGACTTTGCAGGGAGTGACAGATACGGCGCACGGGTGTCGCTGGGACTCACTACTCTCGGCCGCAGGGTCCAGCTAGGGAGGAAGGAGCTCTGAGGGGTTCAGGGACCCCTTTCCTCACCTTGGTCAAAGAATCAGGGCTGAGATGAGAACATCCTCCTGCCTCTCCCCTCTGTCCCCCCAGCCCATGGCCACCCAGGCACTCCCTGCATGCAGGGCACTGGCCAAACACCCGCCCTGTGGGAAGGACAGAGATTTAAAACCACCGTCTACGGGACGCCCTTGGCTTTGCAGCTCTCCCGGGAAGACTGGCTGTCTCGGACGTGCCTTCACTGATGAGAGATGAAAAAATTTTTCCGAAGGAGGGGAGAGCCAGGGGTGGGGGTGAGGTGGGGGGAGAAGCCCCAAGGTGACAACGCGCGACTTCAGAAAACCCCCAGGGCTGGGCTCCTTTGTATTGCTCCTCTGATGCTCAGATACCCCTTGGAGGTTCTGTGCTCGTGCTGTGCTGGGTACAGTCCCTGCCCGCTCTCCTCCTCCTCCTCCACCTCCTCCTCCTCCTCTGCCGGCCAAACGAGACAGAAAAAAAGAACGTACCACAGCGATGGCCTGAAGTGAATGTCTGGCTTAATTTGGCACTTTGTTTAGTTCCAAGATACAACAAAATAGCTCTCCTCTTAAAAAAAAAAACAAGGTTCAGTTTTAACAACCAGATGCTGTATATTGCAATCATAGTTTTCAGGGTAATTATGAAGTTCAATCCTTTTTTCTGCAAAGCTAGCCAAGCAAAAGCTTGGGGGTCTCCTAGCCATCATCAATGCTTTGGGGAACAGGGTGGGGGTCTCTGCCTCTGTATGAAGGAACGAAGGGTTCTGTGGGCACCTGGATACCCGGATGCACAAGCCTCAGGCTGAGCAGCAGAAAGGAGCCCCCGTCAGGGTGCGGGGCAAGGACTGAGAGAGAGAAATCCATGGAAGGGTCAAACTGGCCTCAGCCAGACTAGAGCCGGGCACAATTCCTGGCTGCATGTTGGGGGAGGCCGGCGTGGGGGAGTCACAGAACTGCATTCTGGGACCTCTCCACAACCACAAGATCGCTTCCTCCCTGTGTCCCAAGGCTCTGGGAAAGGGGATGGATGTAAGCCCTCATCATTTCAGATATGTTTCTTGGTTCATGACTTAATCGGAGATCAAGGGCCAGGTAGTTTTGCAGAAGAGCGAACTTTCTGCTCCAGAATTGTACCGTGGCCACCACTTAGGTCTGTGCTGAAATCTGTCCAAACATTTGGCCATCCCCAGGCTCAACTGCTTGGGGTTTCCTGGAACAGATCAGGACAGCATCTCACAGCTGTGAATGCTTGTAGATGAAGCAGGGAGAAGAAACGACATTCTGGGGCAAAGGATGCAAATACGCTTCTTCACCAACAGAAAGAGCCCTTCCCTTGCTGACCTTGGAACTGCATGTGACAGCTGCGGCAGCGGCGAGAACTGATGGGCAACTGTGACGGGAAATGAATTCTGCTCTCCTGAAATATACGTGTTTTTTTTTTCTTTTTGGGTCACACCTGGCGATGCTCAGGGGTTACTCCTGGCTCATGCACTCAGGAATTGCTCCTGGCGGTGCTCGGGGGACCATATGGGATGCTGGGAATCGAACCTGGGTCGGCCGGATGGAAGGCAAAAACATCCTACCTGCTGTGCTATCGTTCCAGCCCCGAAATATACGTTTTTAAAGGAAAAACTCCATGAAAGAGGAAAAGGGATCTCTTCCAAGGAATAATGCTCAAAAAAGTCAGGCATAGGAGAATTGAAAAAGAAAATTGCCAAAATATATGAATGTTACAGATTGTGGATGTAACACTAGAGAACTTCATATATCCCTCACTTGTAACAAACAAGCAAACAAACAAAAAAAGAGGAGAGCTTATTATTAGGTGACTTCTTTCAATTCTTAAAAAAAAAACAAAGGTGTATGTACAATCTTTCAACATATATTAAACGTTCCTCTGTGCAATTTCATTCAACATTCCTATGGCTGATCCTAGCCCCTCGTCCCAGCACAGTGCATCCTGTAAGGTGCTCTTGCTTCTTTGCATAGGTATAGGAGAAAGAACTCTTTCGCAGGGCGTTTGAGAGTTGGGTAGACAGAAAACGAGCTTATTCATAGGGCTTGCCCACTACCCTCCTCTCCCTGCACAATTACCACCAAAACCACAAATAAGCAGACACAGACACACACTCACATACACACGGCAGGCGAAAAAGCCCGAGAAAAGGAACACAGTACAAGCCCTGGTCCGACTACATTGTGAAATTCCTATACCGACATGCATTTTGTTTCTGGTGCTCTGTAGGTTCCCTTCGGAGTGAATTCCTAATGAATCCCTCGAGTAATTTTTTTTTCTTCCAATAATAAAAATAAAGGTTTTGGGCTTTCCATTTACCCATATCATGTTTCTATGGTTCACGAACCCCAGCCCCAGATCCCAGACATGCTAAAGCATCAAACCTATAAAAGTGCATTCCGCACAGTCGCTGGCTGGTCCCCTCCATGTGACCTCCTGAGCAACGGGTAGGCGTCGGCTGTGCTGGGCCGTCTAAAGCCAGCCTGCTCGGAGAATCTAGAGTTCTCTACCTTGCTGAAACCATTCTGCGGTGGTGGGGAGAGGCCAGGGCCAACGGTCCAGTCCGTTAAGCTGGCGACAACTTCTCAAAGAGGCGGCAACATCTCACAGGTCAGCGATGCGGTTTGGCAGCCCGTCCCCGGAGGAGCACCGAGGCTGACCCGCGCAGCTCGCGTGCCAGTTCTGGACAGAATCCAGGCAGGCAGAGACAGGGCTGGGTTGCCTCGTGTGCAAGTGCTTCTTAGAAATCCAAGGATGACTCCCAGAGGCTTCCCCCATAGGGACCTGAACTCAGTGCGGGGCTGCAGTCTGCTGGTGATTGTTACGGTCAGTCTCTTTCCGATGTCTGCATCTGGGGCCCTGCAAGCTGCCGGCTCCATCGCGGTTCACTCGGGGCCTTTCTTCCAAACGAATGAAACACACAAAAAGAAGACACGGGAAAGATACCCAGAGCGCTGTACTTTTCCTGCAACGCCCCATGAGGTGAACTGCTTCGAGAAGTCGACTGGAAAAACGGGGGGAAAAAGTCTATTCACACGGAAAGCAGATATTGTTCTTTGTACAAAGGCTACCAAATAACGTGTAGCTTTCTCTAAGTGTCAAAAGAAAAAAAAATCTCAGAAATGGCATTTTCAGAAAGCTTATCAAAATCGGCCTTCTTGCAAAGTCAAACGGTTTTTGTTGTTTCGATTTGCTAGAGAAGTCCAGTTTTCCGACTTAGACAAAAATTGACTTTTTTTTTTGAAAAGAAAAAAAAAATGAGTCACGGCTGCTCGAGGCTGGATTCCCACTCAGCGAGGGCAGCGAGGGGGATGATCTCACCCCTTTCTTTTCTTTTCTTTTTTTGCTGTAATTACACAAAGGTTCCCTGGAAGTGCTTTTCCTGGGCTTCAATGTGTGTCTTGTTGCAAAGGAAAAATTCCTTTCGGAGACCCGCAGGGGAAGGCGGGCGGGCGTCTGGGGAGTGGGGCTCGGCCGGGGCTCCTCAGTCGGTGAATCGCTGGCAGGCCTTCTTCCAGCGGCAGGCAGTGCACCACATGTCCCGGTTCTCCATGCCGTACACCTTCCGGCACTTCTTGCCCTCTCCCCGGGGCTTCCTGCACAACACAGAAGGGCAACAACCGACTCAGTGAACAGCCTCCGATGGGCCTCCACGAAGGGCCCCCGGTCCCTCTACATGCATGGACAGGTGCTGGGACACGCGCCAGGCGTTTCTCCACCTTCTGGGGTGGGGGGGCTCTCAGGGTTGTTCCAGTTTGCCCGCGGAATCTGCTGTCGTCACCCTGGGTCACAGTTACCATCGTCACTCCTAGATGTGTGCTTTGGGCCACGTTTGGAAAATGAAACCGAACAAGAAATAGGCATGCAGTCACTCGAGGTAGACAAGAATGGCTCTTCCCAGGTTTGAAACAGAGACTCTGGGGCTGGAGTCATGGCACAGCAGGTAGGGCGTTTGCCTCGCACATGGCTGGCCCAGGCTCAACTCCCAGCATCTCATATGGTCCCCTGAACACTGCCAGGAATAATTCCTGAGTGCATGAGCCAGGAGTAACCCCTGTGCATCGCCAGGTGTGACTCAAGAAGAAAAAAAAAAAGAAAAAAGAAACAGAGACTGATGATGTCTCACATTCGTAGTTCTCTGGCTGGGTTATGTGGGAGGGGAGGGGTGAAAGGTCTTCCCTGAGCCCCGCGAACACTGAATCTTTTAATTCATTTAATATGGTTAACGCAATATGGCTTTAAACACACTCAATATTCGGAAAAGGGGCGGGAGCGATAGCACAGCGGGTAGGTCATTTGCCTTGCACGCAGCTGATCCGGGTTCAATCCCCAGCAACCCATATGGTCCTCCAAGCACCGCCAGGAGTAATTCCTGAGTGCATGAGCCAGGAGTAACCCCTGAGCATCGCCGGATGTGACCCAAAAAGAAAAAAAAATAGACGGACAAGTACAAAATAACCTCTCTCCTATGTGGGATATAAAGAATCACAAGAAGGGAATAATCAAAAGTGAGAAGCAACAGAACCTCAGAACTGGCAGAACTGAGCTTACCATGGTGGGGGGAGGGGAGAGGGAGGGAGGCTGAGGAGGGCGATGACACAGTGGTGGAAGGTGCTGGAACACTGTCTGAATGAGAACTTATCATTAACAGTATCTCAGTGCCAAACATTGAAAAAAAAAAGTTTCTAAAAGTTTTAGTCCAAATAAATAATCAGCCTCAGTATCACCATTCCCTGTTCTGCAGGACACCACTGCAAACTGTTTACTCTCCAAATATGACCTTCCGTTAGTTAGCAGATGGGGAAATCATTCTGGGGAATCTTTCCCCCTGTTCTTTATTTAATTATTAATGTTTAAGCCACGTGTTTACAGTAGCGATAATGCCGTACCCAGGTACCACACCTGGGTAAACTCTTGTAAACACGTTGGCGCGTGTTTACAATACTGTCAATGCTTACGGTTCCGATGGGCCCAGGTCCCACACCTCACCACCTCCAAAGTGCCCAAGATCCTGCACTTACGTTCACCTCATCACCTCCCCTGAGCTGCTGGTAGTCTGAGTTTGTAACCTACGGCTAAGGGTTTACCATTGTTTGATACTATCCGCTCTCCTGTTCTGTTTCTTTCTTTTCCACAAATGAATGTGATCACCTGGTGTTTGACTTTCTTTCTTTTTTTGTTTTCTTTTTTTTTTTTTTTGGCTTTTTGGGTCACTCCTGGCGATGCACAGGGGTTACTCCTGGCTTTGGACTCAGGAATTACTCCTGGCAGTGCTCACGGGACCGTATGGGATGCTGGGAATCGAACCCAGGTCAGCCTACCCGCTGGCAAATGCCCTACCCACTGTGCTATCACTCCAGCCCCTTGACTTTCTTTCTGACTTTCGCTAACGTGGTATCTTCCTGTCCCATCCCTGTTGCAGCAGCAAGTTCTGGGGCAGTTAGGGGAGGCCCTGTCTGGTTTCTCCTAGCCTTGCTGTTCTTCTGAGTTTTGGGGAATTTCTTTCAGTCGAGGAGTGTGGCGCGCCCGGCAGGCCTACCTCAGGCTGACCGTACCGCGAGGTGGCGAGGACAGGATCGTGTGTGTGTGCGGCCGCTGCTCGCCTGTGCCCAAGGGGTGACTGTGCGTCGGAGAAACCTGCAAGGACACGAAACAGCGTTAACGGGGAAGCAGCAGGCGTGGCTCTTTCTGTCCACATGCACGGTGGACCCAGGCCATCGGACAGGAAGATGAGGTGCTTCTTTTCCAAAGAACGTAAGTCAACATTAACATGGGAGGGCCTGAGAGAGCACGAGAGGTAAGGGGCTTGCCTCGCATGTGGCAGACGCAGGTTCCAGGCAGAAAGCAGGGCCTGGCCAGCACCTCAACCTCACCCTCATGCTGAATCACTCGCCTGGGGTGGCTGAATATAGGAGTGGGTCTAGGCCACTGAGCCCACTTGGGAGGAGGGAGAGAGGGAGAGGAAGAGTGAGAGGGAGAGGGAGAGGGAGGGAGGGAAGGAGAGAGAGAGAGAGAGAGAGAGAGAGAGAGACAGAGACAGAGACAAACAGAGAAAGAGAGAGACACAGAGAAAGAAAAAGAGAGAAAGAGAAACACAAAGAAAGAGAAAGAGGGAGGGAAGGAGGGAGAGAGAAGGTGAGAGAGAGGGAGAGAGGGAAGAGAGGGAAGAGAGGGAAGAGAGAGAGAGGGTGGGAGAGAGAGACAGAGACACACAGAGAGAAACACACAGAGAGACAGAGAGAGGGAGGGAGAGAGAAAGACAGAGAGACAGAAAGAGATAGAGAGAGAAAGAGAGAGAGAGAGATTCTAGTCAGGATTTGCATCTGAGCCTCCCAACAGAGCAGCAGTGTGAATGGTATGTGAAAAAGTCTTTACATAGTGATTTTTTTTTTTGTTTGTTCTTGGGCCACACTGGCAGTGCTCAGGGCTTCCTCCTGGCTGGGCGCTCAGGAATCACCCCTGGCAGTGCTCTGGGGACCCTCTGGGATGCTGGGGGTCAAACAGGCTTGGCTGAGTGCAAAGAAAGAGCCCTCCCAGCTGTCCTATTGCTAGGGCCCACTTTGTGATTAAAAAACAAACAAACAAACAAACAAAAAACTGACTGGGGCTGGAGTACTGTGTACTGTGAGTAGGACATTTGCCTTGCACGCGGATGACCCGGGTTCGATTTCCAGCATCCCGTATGGTCCCCTGAGCACGGCCAGAAGTAATTTCTGAGTGCAGAGCTAGGAGTAACCCCTGAGCATCTCCGGGTGTGACCCCCCAAAAACAAAAAAAACCCAAAAATTCCTGGGGACTACACCTGGCAGTGCTCGGGGGCTACATCTGGCTCTGTGCTCAGGAGTGTTACTCCTGGTCATGCTCAGGGAACCAGCTGGGGCGGGAATTGAACCAGGGTTGGCCTCGTGCACAGCAAGCACCTTAACCCCAGGACCTGTCGGAACCTTCTTTGTGTGAGTTTGTAGCTTTCGAATGGTAAAAAGGAAGAACCTGAGTGGGCTTTAACTTCTTACAACTTAGGATATGACCGGTCTGTCCCCCAAGGGTTTTTTCTTTCTTTCTTTTTTTTTTTTTAAAAAAAAAGACTGGGCTGGAGTGATAGCACAGCTGTAGGACATTTGCCTTGCACACGGCTGACCCAGCCGACCCAAGTTCGATTCCTCCTCCCCTCTCGGAGAGCCTGGCAAGCTACCAAGAGTATCTTGCTTGTACGGCAAAGCCTGGCAAACTACGTGTGACGTATTCGATATGCCAAACACAGTAACAAGGTTCACAATGTTACTGGGCACACTCGAGCAAATCGATGAATAATGGGAGGACAATGCTAAAAAAACAGACTAACTAAGCATTCCACCAGGCCCAGAAATAGAAAGGCCAGGTAAGATCCGTGAGCAGCATCCTCAGGTAGGGGGTCCCCGCGGGAAGCCATCTGCAGGCGGTGGGCTCTGAGCCTTCCAGCCTCCAGGACTGAGAGAAAATGAACTCGGGTTGCTCCAACCCCCGAGTCTAGGGCGGCCTGCCCTGGTGGTCCCAGCCCAGCAGAGCGACGGAGAACTCTCAGCTCCCACCAGGAAATCACAGAGAAAAGAATGAAAATAATTAGAAGCAAAGACGGGTCCTGGGGGAAACACAGGTCAAAGAAAGTTGCAATTAGTGTGTCTCTGGCTCCTACGCCTTTGCCTACAGCCTTCGGTGAGGAAAGTAGGACCTTTGCAGCTCCATCTGCAAATATGCAGAACGGCCTTCGCAGCCAGGGGCCTCTGGGAAGAGGTCTTACCCAGGGAACTTATTAAAGCCCAACGTTCGGGAAAATTGGTGTAAGTGAATGAATAAGTAAAACCCTGCCAACCTGGGGAGTTCGCAGAAGCGGCTTACTCCCACTCTCTCGTGTCCCTGAACACCCTTCCCTTACCCCCCACCAGAGCTTGCGACGGACGAGAAAGGCTCATCTTAAACGGGGTTGACAGCGCAGTATTTGTTTGCGAGTACAAAGCCCCAAGTGCTGCTTCGAAAGCATTTTATAAAGTAGAAACCACTCTCGTCTTCCGCTGGGATGCAGTTGAAGCCGTTATGAATGCAAATTCATTTGGTTTCCCAATACTTTTAGGGCTTGTGAATGAGAACCCCAAGTCAGGAATTCAGAAAGGAGGAATTCTCTCAGATTCAGAGCTTGGTCCTGACACTGCCGAGAAGTCTCCAGCCAGATGCCGGTACCTGTCGGCAGCTGCGGTGCGGGGAGAATCAGTCCCCAGGAAGAGGGGAACAGCCGGCACCCACTTTTAAGAAGCGTTCTTAGGGGCTGGAGAGATAGTGCGGCAGGGTTCTGCCGGGAGTGCTCTCTGAGCAGAGCTTGGAGTGGCCCAGTTCCACCCCTGCCAAATGAAAATAAAAGCACGCATTGAGAGTATACGAACAACAAGAACGTTGTGGTAACATGTCTTCTTGTCTTCAAGAACCCCAGAATAAAGCAAAAACTGAAACCAAATCAAAACAAACTACAATCCCCTGCTCTGCAAACAAAACTCATACAGACACTTTAATTTTGAGTTATTTATCTATAGAACTCGGTACTCAGGAGGTCTGGGGCCGGGCGCCGCTCCTGCTGATTCGGGCCCAATGGTGCTGGATCTCCCCACGGGTTCTGGGGCCTCCCAGAGCTGCACTTCCAGGTACCAGGGGATGATGTGGTACGGGGGACCCAACCGGCTTGCATGCAAGAGAAGCATCTTAACCCCCATATTATCTCTCTGGATCCTTTTTTTGGGGGGGGGTCACACCCAGCAATGCTCAGGGGTTACTCCTAGCTTTGCACTCAGGAATTACTCCTGGCGGTGCTTTGGGGACCATATGGGATGCCGGGGATTGAACCCGGGTCAGCCGTGTGCAAGGCAAACGCCCTACCTGCTGTGCTATCGCTCCGGCCCCTGGATCCTTGTTTTTATGTTTAATTTTTTTCTCCCATTTTTACCTGGGTACCATAATTTACAATAATGTTAATGAAACTTTCATTCATACATTGTTTCAACTCAGTTCTGTAGACCAACGCTCCAGTTCTGAGTCTCTGTGTACTTGCAGCCCCCTTGTTGGTGTTCAGGGGGCCAGAGGAGGTGCTGGGATGGAGCCTGGCTCTCTGCTTGCAGGCAAGCACCTCCCCTCCTGTGCTCTCTCTCCCACCCTGCTCTGGAACTCTCATGTTGACCAAAACAAACACCCAAAGGGTGCCAACAGGACTGTTAACCTCTGACATTCACCTCTGTGGATTATGGTTTTTGCCAGAAGCAAAACCAGCACAGCCATGTCTAAGCTCTTCCGAAGTCTACCCACAAGTGAAGTCACTGCACTCGCTCTTCTCCAACAACTGGCAGAAGGCAGCCAAGTGTCAGTGAAGCCGGCAACGTTCTGAATTACTCCAGATCGTGATGTTGTTTAAAAAATTCAATGAGGAATATCATTTGGAAGTTGCCAATCCACCAACTGCTGCCAGCAGGATGCTTTATATTTGCTGGCTATTCCTCTAGGGAATCGATAAATATTCATCCACAGAGCACAGCATAATTGATTGAGCCACTTTTTCCTTTTTTATCAGCTCCACTGGAGGCCTTAGTCTTTGCTGGACACCTCCAGGAATTGCCAGTGGTTGATAAGGAGAAACTTTTGTGAGGTCTTTGGGGGAGAGGAGAAATAGGAGAAAAAGAGATTCATAATATAGTATCACAAGTCACATTTGGAACCTTCCCAGGAGTTATAAGGCACAGAGACAATAAACAGTGCATAGGACTACGGCTATTCGATAATATGCTACATGAGACCTAAAAGTCTTTAAAAGATGAATAGCGGGAAGTCAATATTCATGGCAGTTTATCAGATAGCAATCCTTACCTATAACAAATTAATTCTTATATACTACTTAAATATGACTGCGTAGTTTAATACTCATTTATCTTCAAATTACCCACCCGTATGAATTTAAACATATGAAGGAAAAAGGTGATTTCAATTTTTTACCCTTCAAGATGAGAATAATTTGTCATGCATTTTATAGAGTCACTTAGAATGATAAATTTCACTTGTATAACAGTTTTTCCTTCATGACACAAGGTCTGGGTTCAGCTGTTCATTTTATAAAGCCTTCTGGAAATTAAAAAAAGTAGCATCAATTCTCTGGAGGAGGGTGTGGTGCTGGGATATTTTATGTATAAAACCCTATAATTAGCAGTGTTGTAAACCACAGTGCCTTAAGAAAAAGTACCACCAATACAAAAAAAAAAAAACCACCAAAAAAACCCTTAATTTCTGACAGCTTACATACAGATAAAAATGTCTTTGAGTTTTCTAACAGGAGCTCTGCTCCATGGCTTGGAAACTGGCCTCACATGCTGGGGGAAAAGACAGCTCAGATAGAGAAGGGAACACCAAGTAAAGGATGTTGGGAGGACCCATTTGGGTTGAAAGATGTGTGTTGAAAGCAGACTATAAGCTGAACACGATGGCAACTCAATACCTTTATTGCAAACTACAACACCCAAAAAGAAATCGAACAAAAGGGAATGCCCTGCCACAGAGGCGGGGTGGGGTGGGCGTGGGGTGGGGTGGGGATGGTGGGAGGGATGCTGGGAACATTGGTGGAGGAGAATGGGCACTGGTGGAGGGATGGGTACGATTATTGTATGACTGAAATATGAAAGTTCGTAAGGTTGTAACTGTACCTCATGGTGATTCACTAATAAAAAATTAAAAAAAGGAAAAAAAAGAAAGAGTGGGCTAGAATGTGCTTAGCCCTAGAGAAGATGCCTTGTATGTGTGAAGCTCTGGGTTCAAGCCACGTTGACCAGGTTTCCTGTTTCTTTTCTACTTACAGGGATGCCTGTGAAGGTAACTGGAGGAGACTGCCAGGAAATGCTGAAGCTGCTGCCATTGGGGGTGAACTTGGCTGATCCTGGAATGGTCACGGGGGGCGTGGCCTGTTGAATGGAAAACAGAGATTGGTCACACACGAACGGTTTTCCTCAGAATGTGAAACTTCACAAAGAAGAGCCTTAGAAATGAGACCAAACATATTACACTATCTAAAAGGAGGAGATTCAATATAGCCAAAGAGAGTTGTTTAGAAATAAGAGTTGGGAGATAAACTGGGGACATTGGTGGTGGCGAATGTGCACTGGTGGAGGGATGGGTGTTTGATCACTGTGTGACTGAAACTCAAACATGAAAGCTTTGTGACTGCATCTCAATGTGATTCAATTAAAAAAGAAAAAGAAATAAGAGTTGGATATATCTCAGCCATCTTGCTAAGGCATAAAAGGAGGTTTTAGACCCTTAGTTTCTGAAAGGAAGTTTTGTTCCATATACACGTACCTAGCTAGAACATTTGTGAGGTAGCAGCCTTCATGAATAAGTTAGGAAATCCACACTTTTATACTGTGATGGTGGGTGAGAAAAATCGGATAACACTTTGGAGGGCTAATTTGGTGATGTGTATAAAAACTCTTAGTGTTCTGCATGTTAGCGATTCCACTCCTGAGAATTCATTCTTAGAAAGTGATTTCTGTTGTAATGACCCCCTTTTCATTTCTGATTCGGTTTATTAGGGTTTTCTCTCTCCCTTTCTTTGTGAGTTTTGCTAGAGGCTTATCGATCTTGTTAATTTTCTCGAAGAACCAGCTCTTGGTTTCATTGATCTTTCGGATTGTTTTTTGGGTTTCCATCTCATTAATCTCTGCTCTGAGTTTTATTATTTCCTTTCTCCTGTTCGGGTTGTGCTCCTTTTTTTGGTCCTTCTCCAAGCTCTTAAGCTGTGAGGTTAGGTTACTTATGTGTGCTCGCTCCTCCTTCCTGAGGAATGCTTGTAGAGCTATAAACTTTCCTCTTAACACAGCCTTTGCTGTGTCCCATAAGTTTTGGTAACTCGTGTTCTCATTTTCATTCGTTTCTAGGAATCTTTTGATTTCCTCTTTGATTTCCTGTCTAATCCACTCGTTGTTCAATAGTGCACTGTTTAATTTCCAGGTGTTTGATTTAGTTTTCTGTTTTTGTGTGTGATTTACTTCTAATTTCAGCCTCTTTAATAAATTGTGTTGGCATCACTGGACGGCTACATGCAAAAAAATAGGCTCAGAACTCTGCCTAACACCATGTACAAAAGTAAGATCAAAATGGATTAAAGACCTCAACATCAGACCAGAAACCATAAGGTACATTGAAGATAAAGTTGGCAAAACCCTCCATGACATTGAAGCTAATGGTATCTTCAAAGATGCCACGCCACTGGCCGAGCAAGTGAAAACAGAGATAGATAAATGGGACTATCTTAAACTAAGAAGCTTCTGCACCTCCAAAGAAACAGTGACCAAAATACAAAGACAGTCTACAGAATGGGAAAGGATATTCACCGAATACACATCTGACAAGGGGTTGATATCCAGGATATACAGAATACTGGTTAAACTCCACAAGAAGAAAACATCCAACCCCATCCAAAAATGGGGCAATGAAATGAACAGAAACTTTCTCAAAGAAGAAATCCGAATGGCAAAAAAGCACATGAGAAAATGCTCTACATCATTAATCATCAGGGAGATGCAGATCAAAACCACAATGAGATACCATCTCACACCTCAGAGACTGGCCCACATCCAAAAGAACAAAAGCAACCGATGCTGGCGTGGATGTGGCGAGAAAGGGACACTCCTTCACTGTTGGTGGGAATGTCCACTGGTTCAGCCCTTCTGGAAAACAGTATGGACGATTCTCAAAAAATTAGAAATTGAGCTCCCATTTGACCCAGCAATACCACTCCTGGGAATATATCCCAGAGAGGCAAAAATGTATAGTCGAAGTGACATCTGCACTTGTTTGTTCATTGCAGCGCTCTTTACAATAGCCAGAAACTGGAAGAAACCTGAATGCCCAAGAACAGATGACTGGTTAAAGAAACTTTGGTACATCTACACAATGGAGTACTATGTAGCTCTTAGAAAAGATGAAGTCATGAAATTTACATACAAGTGGTACAATATGGAAAGTATCATGCTAAGCGAAATGAGTCAGAAAGAGAGGGATAGACATAGAAAGATTGCATTCATCTGGGGGATATAAAGTAACAAAGTATGAGATTAATACCCAAGAATAGCTGAGATCAGCACCAGGAGGATTACTCCATAACTTAGAGGCCAGCCAGGTATCCTAGAGGAAAGGGCAGTTCAGATAGAGAAGGGAGCACCAAATAAAGTATGTTTGGAGGATCCTCCCAGGAGGGGAGATGCATGTCGAAAGTAGACTATGGACTGAACATGTTTGCCACTCAATGCCTCTTTTGCAGACCACAACACCCAAAAGGAGAGAGAGAACACAGGGGATTGCCCTGCCACAGAGACAGGGGGGATGGGGGGATGGGGGTGGGGGGGATATTATCCATAGTGGTGGAAAATGGGCACTGGTGGAGGGATGGGTATCTGATCATTGTATAATTGAAACCAAAGCACAAAAAATTGTAAATCTACAACTTTAAAAAAATAAAATAAAATAAAGGGGGAAAAAAAAAGAAAGTGAATAGAGGGATGTTCATTGAAAAACCACATTTTGTTTATTTTCCATCATAATCATTATTATTTTTATTTAGGAACTGTTTTTAATAGCTTGAGATATTTAATGTTCCAACTTCAAATCCAACCCCAGCATCACTGTCCCTTCACCGACATGAGGTAGCACTGTCCACGGTCCTCCCGTTGTTCATCAATTTGCTCGAGTGGGCATCAGTAACGTCTCCGTTGTGAGACTTGTTGTCACTGTTTTTGGCATATCGACTACACCATGGGGAGCTTGCCAGCCTCTGTCGTACAGGTGGGATACTCTTGGTAGCTTGCTGGGCTCTCGGAGAGGGATGGATGAATCGAACCCTGGTTGGCTGTGTGCAAGGCATATGCCCTACTGCTGTGCTATTGCTCCAGCCCACCAAAATGAGGTAGAAGTATATATTACTAAGAATCAGAAAACACAAATGTCCAGTAATAGGGAAATAGGTGTATACATAAATTATGATATGTCAACAAAACCATTAAAATGCTATTGTTGAAGAATAGTCATTGGTATGGGAAAATGCTCCCAGCATAGAGTGGAAAAAACATATTAATAGCACTATAATCAATTAAAGAGCATTAAATCAATTTCTTTTATGTATATATATATATACACACACACACATCTATAGAAGTGTTGAAGGATAAACAAAATATATTAGCCAAGGGAATACATTTTAAAAATGTTTTTTAGCATTTTCTATGATAAACATTCACATCTATAAACAAAGACCTTCTAGATCGCCCACTATCTGTTCCAAATCTCATTAGATAAGCAAAATAATTTAATTAGTTAAATTGATTTGACCTAAATGCAATACTGACAAACAACGAATTATTTTTTCTTGAAAAATATGAGTCAGGAATAAAATGATTCTGTTATTAAATTAGCTTTACTCCATTATTCTTGACCTTAAGTCTACTAAGTGGCTAGATTTGTCCCCTAAGGTTTAATTTTTCTAATGACAAGTATAGTTGCTAGTGACAGTGGTTGCGTAAATGGCCACTGAAAATGTTTTGGTGATGTGCAGCTGTAAACTGTTTATCATCTAATTCAGTAAATCCTCTCCTAGGAACTGAAAGATAAAAAAGAGTTACAGGCAGAAAATTTTTGTAGTTGAGAAATTAATGATATTAAAAAACTGGAAGGACTGAAAAGTAAATCCTACCTATAAGAGCATGATTGAAATGATTTGGCATTTTCATTTAGCTGAGCATTTTCTACTTATATGGTAAATTATTTATAAAAGAAGGTGGGAAAACACAATTCTAACTATGTAAAGGAGATTTAAAAACTTAATTAAAAAAGAAACATTTGAGAATATATTTCACAAGTTTGTATGTGATTAAGATTCACCAACCACATCTACCACCTATGAGTAAAGGGTTCTAGTAATTGTCTTTTTTTTGGGGGGGGTGCACACTCGGTAGTGCTCAGTGATCACTTCTGGTGGGGCTCAGTGGACCACATGTGATGCTTCTTATCAAACCCAGATAGCTGCATGCAAGGCAAGTGGCATACCCGCTGTACTATTGCGTGAAACTTGTTTTTCACTTTAAAGGAGATTGAAAACAAAGTACATAGGGTCTTTTAGACTGGTGGGGAAGATATTTTCTTGAACAAAGAAGGTAATGAAATTTATTAAAAAACAAATCATCTTCTAAAGAGTTCACAGTTTCTGTGGGGGAAAGGAGTTCCAGCCATGTCCTGTATTTTCCTATTGTAGGGTCTTAGCAGACCTACGAATGAATCAAAATTACCTGGAGGTCTGTTACAACGCCAACTGCAGGTTTCCAAGCTCTGATCCCACAGGTATGGGGTGACCACATAATTTACATTATTATCATGTTTCTAGATGATGCTGAGACCATTACAGGGAAATCCTTACAGCCCCTGAAGCCCCCCTCTGTGAGGGTTAGTGACCAATCCAGAAAACAGGGCATGAAGTTCCAGATTTGAGATGCAGGATGATTCTGTTACTATGCCAAAGGTTTTCCATGCTGACCTTGTCATCTATTCTATTTTTCACGTAACCAACCTAGTGTGTGCCAGGCTCTCTTCGGAGGGCATTATGTCTTAAGGATTTTAATCGTCTTTTTTTAAAATTTTTTGCTTTTTTTGCGTCACACCTGGCGATGCTCAGGGGTTTACTCCTGGCTCAGGCACTCAGGAATGACTCCTGGCGGGTGCTCAGGGGACCATATGGGATGTTGGGAATCGAACCCGGGTTGGCCACGTGTAAGACAAATACCCTACCCATTGTGCTCTCACTCCAGCCCCAGATTTTAATCGTTTTAACAAGGTCTAAGGGATGGGGGCTATTCTGGTCAGCACTGGGGAGGCTAAGAACCCACAGACACTGGCCTGTATACCACTCCTGGGAATATATCCCAGAGAGGCAACAAAGTATAGTCAAAGTGACATCTGCACTTGTTTGTTCATTGCAGCACTGTTTACAATAGCTAGAATCTGGAAAAAACCTGAGTGCCCGAGAACAGATGATGACTGGTTAAAGAAACTTTGGTACATCTACACAATGGATTACTATGCAGCTGTTAGAAAAGATGAAGTCATGAAATTCATATACAAGTGGTACTACATGGAAAGTATCATGCTAAGCGAAATGAGTTAGAAAGAAAGGGACAGACATAGAAAGATTGCATTCATCTGGGGAACATAAAGTAACAAAATAGGAGACTAACACCCTAGAATAGCCGAGATAAGTATACCAGGAGGATTACTCCATGGCTTTGAGGACAGCCGCACACGCTAGGGGAAAAGGCAGCTCAGATAGAGAAGGGAGCACCAAATATAGGGTGTTGGGAGGTTCCTCTCAGAATGGGAACTGTATGATGAGAGTAGACTATAGTCCGAACAAGATCGCCACTCAATGTCTCTTTTGCAAACCACAGCACTCAAAATGAGAAAGACAACAAAAGGGAATGCCCTGCCACATAGGTAGGGTGGGATGGCGGGATGGGGGAGGGAGGAATACTGGGATCCATGGTGGTGGAGAATGGGCACTGGTGGAGGGATGGGTATTCGATCATTGTATAACTGAAACCTAAGCACAAAAAATTGCAAGTCTACAACTGTACCTCATGGTGTTTCACTAATAAAAATTTAAGAAGGAAAAAAAAATAAAAGGAGGAAAAGAAATAAATCTTTTCTCTGAGTCTTAACCGCGTCTTTACTCTCTATTGAGTGTCTTGGGGGTCAGAAGGCTCCTGGGTTGGGTTAGGGGTCCAAGGGTCCTCTCTGGGCCCCCACTAGTCACCTGGTAAGCGTGGTCAGTGTGCACGAGGTAGAGGGTGGTGGGGGCCGAGCGGCTCAGAGGCGTCATCAGCTTCGTTTCAGTTTTGGCACAAGGAGTTTCCGCTCGGCTTGAATCCAGGATGGGGAAAGTGGGAGGCGAGGCCAGGGACTGGGAGGGAGAAACGGGGGCCAGGCTGCTCAGCCCATCTGCCACGGAGTCTGTGTTGAGCTTGATCTCCGTGTAGTAGAAGTCCTCTTCCCCGTCACTGTAGTCGGAGTCACCGACGCGCCTGAGGTGACACAGAGCAGCAATCGTTCAATCATACATAACACCACGCTTCCTCCAAATTTTACGCGTGCTGCTCCCTCTTTTCGGAACACTTTTCTTCTTTTTTTGTTTAATTTTATAGAGTAGTTCACAGTATTTCATTACGTTTAATATTCCAGTACCAATCCCACCACCATTACACCTTCCCACCACCATATTTCAAATGCCTCCATCCCAAACCCCAATCCCTGACCCAAAGCAGAACGGAAATAATATATTTTGTATTGCTTGTTATGAAAAAACGCTGAAAATGCTACAAAAAATATCCTTAGAGGAAAGAGGCTGAGGATGGCTGTATTCCACCCAGGGGCCATTAAACCCTTCTTATAAGCGATCACTAACGTTTTATTAGAAGTTGAGCCTTGTGTGCTTTTATATCTATTGCTGAAAAAAAATTCCCTCTATGATTGCTTGCTTTCTACTTTGAACTCCATCAAATGTGGTGCAGGACTCCTGAACTTTGGGTAGGGTGTGTGGTGGGAAGTGTCGCGTAGTCGCAATTGGTGGAATGTTTTTTCTTCTTTCCTGCAGCACTTAAGCCAAAACTCTTCTTTTAGGTAAGTTCTTCTTTAACGTTTTGGGGCACCTTGGTGGTGCTCAGCACTAATTCCTGGCTCTGTGCTCAGGGGACCGTATGTAACACTTGGGATTGAACCAGAGTTAGCAGCATGCAAGGGAAACACCTAAACCCCTGTCCTATCCCTCTCGGACCCTCCACTTTAACCTCTCTTTGTTTGTCTGGGGCGACATCTGACCATGCTCAGGGCTTACTCCTGGTTCTGTGCTCAGAGATTACTCTAGTAGTGCTTGGGAGACCATATGTGATGCAGGGATAGAACCAGAATCAGCCCCATGCAAAGCAAGTGCTTTACCTGCTGGAGTATGTCTCTGACCCCCAACCTTTGAAAGCAGTTAACACACTGACATTGGTGTGTATCCCACTGACTCACAATGTGGCTTAATGAACACAGAATGCAGTGTCAGCATCAGCCGATTAACCAATCAACCAACCAATCCACTGACCATTCAGCAGCAATTTGCTGGGGATCTACTACGTCTAGGCACTATTTCTGAGTATCTACATCACACAGTAAATATACAGCTGAGTTCCCTGATGAACTTGAGAGTCTAGTGGAAAAGATAAGCGTAGCATAAAGAAATAAATATTTAATATACTGAAAGTTTTGGGACTGTATCTCATGGTGATTAAAAAAAATAAAGGGACCATGTGTCATGGTGGGGATCAAACTGAGCCTGGCCATAGACAAGGCCTTAACCTGGTACTATCTTTTTGGCCTCCTGTAATTTTTAAAAAACCTTTATCTTCTTAAAGCTGATTCTCTAGGGCTATGTTATGTTCATCATGGGATCTTTTATACATCAGGATATCTGCACAGAGAAGGCATCTGTTCGATGCTGACTGGCACTGGGGGCACCGTCCTTCTGCACATGAGTCCTGGCACCAGATTCTTGGGTTCAGAACTCAGAGCCTCCTGCATCTGACCTGTTCTCTTCATGGGTTCTGCACCTCGGGGTCTTTACTGATAAAATGAGATTAATCCGAGTTTTGCTTGTGGTGTGGACTAAATGAATATGTACATAGTTTTAGACATGTTCCCGGAACATAATAAGCACGACAGACTTATTAAATGCATCGATGTCAGATGCCCCCATGTCTCCCATTCCTAAGAAAAGTGTCTTGGTGCTTCAAATTTCTTCCCGGGTCATGTGAAATAATAATTTTTTCATAGAAAGTCCTTTTCAAAAAATTAAAAAAAAATAATTTATTTTTTATTGAATCACCGTGAGATACAGTTACAAGCTTTCACGTTTGAGTTTCATTCATAGAATGATCAAACCCAAACCCCCACCAGTGCACATTCTCCACCACCAATGTCCCCACTATCCCGCCCGCCCTCAACCCGACCCTCCCTCTGCCTCCCTGGCAGACAATTTCCCCCATACTCTCTCTACTTTGGGGCATTATGGTTTGCAATCCAGTTACTGAGAGGCTATCACGTGGTCCTTTATCTACTTTCAGCACACATCTCCCATCCCCAACTATCCCTCCAACCATCATTGTCTTAGTGATCCCTTCTCTATTCCAGCTGCCTTTCCCCCCAGCTCATGAGACAGGCTTACAAATTATGGGGCATTATTCCTGAGCCTAGCGTCAACTGTCCTTGGGTGTCAGTCTCCTATTATGTTATTTTACATTCCACAAATGAGTGGAGTCCTTTCGTAGAAAGTCTTGAGTAAAATAAATGCCCATAACCTTGAAAATCCTTTTCATTTGGTTAATTTCGAGAAAAGTGGTACAAATCTAGCAACTTCTCTTTACGGGCTGACTGAGCAGAGAGCCCCATGAGGATCCCTTGCATGGGGCACCCGGTGTTTCAAGGGTGCCTCCAACAACAGCAAGTGCTTGGGATATACAGTTTTCCTACTCACAGTTCCTCCATGGAACCCAAAATAGATTTTCCTCCTCTCCTTGGCCAAATCTGTGCCTCGTTCCAGCTTCTCCCCTCTCCCCTGAGCTTTTGGGCTGGGCGTCTGGGGAGGTTTCTCACTGCCCTATCAGGTCTGGCCAGGCCTGGCTCTCTGACAAACATACCATCCAGGACCCCAGGGAGCAGACGAAGAATCTGCGTCTGTTCTATTCCTGTCCCCACTTCCTGTCCAGCAAAGGGCAAGCCAACCTACCCATGGCTGCGAGTTCTACTAATAGACACACAGGCCTGGGGCAAACTATGTCCAACATGGGGAGAAACGGGGATCAACACTCTAAGACTCTGGTCAACAAGAGCGGAGTGAGATTTAAGAGAACACAGGGTGGGGCCGGAGCGATAGCACAGCGGGGAGGGCGTTTGCCTTGCACACAGCTGACCTGGGTTCAATCCCCGGCATCCCATAGGGTCCCCCAAGCACTGCCAGGGGAAAGTCCCGAGTACAGAGCCAGGAGGGACCCCTGAGTATCGCTGGGTGTGACCCCAAAAGCAAAATAAATAAATAACATAAAGATTAAAAAAAAAAAGAGAGAACACAGAGATCTTCACTGTTGAGTTTTTTGTTTGTTCTGTTTGTTTTGCATTCTCAGGGCTTTCTCTGCTCAGGAGCCCTGGGGTCCCCCTGGCAATTCTTGGTCAATCAAGGCTGATGGTTCAAAGCAATCCCGAAGCAGGCAGGATGGCCCCGCAGTGCCGGGATATCCGGGCCACCTTATGTGTTGCTTTGGGAACATACGGTGCAGGGGGTCAAACCCAGATCGGGCACAAACTGGGCATGCATTCTAACCACATAGTCTCCTAGCCCCGACAGGGTTACTTTTTCTGTTCTTAGGGCCACACCTGGTGATGTTCAGGACTGACTCCTGGCTTTGTGCTCAAGGATCACTCCTGGCAGGGATTGAGGGAACACGTGGGGGGTTGGGGACTGAAGCCGCTGCATTATGACATCCGCCCCAATCGGGTCCCTTTTCTGCTGGTCTGGAACATTCTGCAGCCACAGCAGATGCTAGAGAGACTCCCGGTAAACTCTGACACACTCTTCTTCCTACCATCCCCCCACAGCCAACCCTGGTTAAAAATGCCACATTGAGGCTGGAGTGATAGCATAGCGGGCAGGGCGTTTGCCTTGCATGCGGCCAACCTGGGTTCGATTCCCGCCATCCCATATGGTCCCCCGAGCACCGCCAGGAGTAATTCCTGAGTACAGAGCCAGGAGTAACCCTTGTGCATTGCCGGGTGTGACCCTCCCCCCAAAATAAAAAAATTAAAAATGCCACATCATCTGATGGTCACAAAACTGGGCCCCTGAATGAAGAGCGGGGAGGGCTCGGGCCCGGCTTTGCTGTCCCTCTTAGCCAGGCTGGGGGGACTGAGTTCAGCCCGCGAGGCCACTGTCAGCGTGTGGGGAGAAGAGAATACTAGGCCAGCAAATATGGGTATGTTGTGAGTTCTGCCCACCGTAAGAGCACTTGTGCTGGGAGCTCAAAGGAACATATGATGCAGTCTGTCAATACAGATGGCCTAGGCTTTGGCGTGGTACTGAACAGGATTTAATTTTTCTGAGCAGCCATAGCTGGAAGCCTGCCTCAGGAGCAAAGGGGAGAAGGCAGCTGGAATAGAGAAGGGATCGCTAAGAAAAAGATGGCTGGAGGAATCGGTCGGGCTGGGAGATGTGTGCAGAAAGTAGATAAAGGACCAAACATGATAATCTCTCAGTATCTGAATTGCAAACCATCATTCCCAAAAGTAGAGAGAGATTATGGGGAATCATGTCTGCCATGGAGGCAGAGGGAGGGTGGGAAAGGGGGTTATACTGGGGATATTGGTGGTGGGGAATGTGCACTGGTGGAGGGGTGGGTGTTTGATCATTGTATGATTGTAACCCAAACATGAAAACTCGTAACTATCTCACGGTGATTCAATTTAATTTTTTTTTTTCTGAGCAGATGGCCTTGAAAACAAACACCCTCGCCCCCGATTATAGTCTGGGGCAGTTCTCTTTCAGCCTTTAAATAGCTTGGAGATATTCTCGTTGTGAGTTGTCCTGCTGGCTGGGTCTGAGGGGGAGACTGGGCAGGATTTCCTCCCCTCAAGGAGTCAGGAGTGGGAACGGGGCATTCTGTTCCATGGCATCTCGGTGGGGTACTTGGTGGAAGGTGCAGGAGCCACTGGGGATGCGGCCGCTCTGAGGCCACTCCAGTAGTGCCTGGCCCTCGGGACTCGGAGGGCCTGGCCTGTTCCGCAGGGTCAGTCTTGGTCAGGAAACCACAGCCCGCCCCCTCCCATATCGGCAGAGTAGCCAGAGAATCTGTGTGTGTTTCTTTTTATTCTATCACTTTTTTTCCCCAGCTTTATACACTATGGTGCCAAGTAAAAAGTGAGATATTTGATTTTTTTTGTCTTTAAGAAAATTCGGTATTAATACCTCAGGGGTTTCCCCCCCCCCCCTCCAGTCTTATCTATTGATTTAGTGCAATACCAATCAAAACCCTAGAAGACCAGTATGACAATAGTAGTTAGAAATTGGAAATGATCACTCTGGACAAGAACTGAGTGTTGAAAATAGGTAAACGGATATACATGATAACCTTTCAATATCTGTATTGCAAACCATAATGCCCAAAATAAGAGAGAGAGACACAGAGAGAGACAGAGGGAGACAGAGAGACAGAGGGAGACAGAGAGAGACAGACATAGAGACAGAGAGAGACAGAGACAGAGAGACAGAGACAGAGAAAGAGAGACACAGACAGAGACAGAGAGAAAAGTGGCAAGAAAAGTGCTTGCCATAGAGGCAGCAGAGGCTGGGGAGGAGGGAAACTAGGAAACATACACTGGTGAAGGGATGGGTGTTGGAATATTATATGACTGAGCCCAATCACAAACAACTTTAACTGTATATCTTACTATGATTCAATTAAAAAAAAATCTACCACTTTTTTTTTTGCTTTATTTTTTGGGGGTCACACCTGGCGATGCTCAGGGGTTACTCCTGGCTCATGCACTCAGGAATTGCTCCTGGCGGTGCTCAGGGGACCATATGGGATGCTGGGAATCGAACCTGTGTCGGCCATGTTGGCTGAGTGCAAGGCAAACGCCTTACCCGCTGTGCTATCACTCCAGCCCCCAATCTACCACTTTTAACAAAGGGTGCACTTGCCACTCTTGAGCTGGACAAAGTGATCACAAATTTAATTCTCAACTCTTGCCTTGGTAAAGGGCCTCCTCTACGTCCAAGAATTTGGAGGTTGGTCATAGGGGTGAATTTGCCTTCTGCACACGGGTTATGACTGATAACGCCTCAAGGTTCCGTCTAAGTCCCAGATGCCAGGGGAAGACGGACTCGGAGACTGTTGACTCAGCCCATGAAGACCGATGCACCACCACCCCCTCGTGTGGCCCCTCATCGCCGTGGCTCCAAAAGCTTTGTTTTATCCTTCCTGAGAAAGCGTCTTACATAACACAAGTATGGTTTGTGCAAGTAAAGGGCTCAGCTGAGCAGGAGAGGACGGGAAACCCAGGCACCTGGCTCTTTCCTCCCTCCCCTTTCCCTCCATAATCACCATCATTATGGCAGTGCTCAGGGGTCATGTTTGTAGGGGTTTCAGGGTGGGGGGGCAAACAGTACTGTCATTGTTATTCTTTTTTCTTTTTTGACCACGCCCAACTGTGTTCAAGGTTTACCCCTGCTCTGTGCTCAGAAGAGCCATATGCAGTTGTAGGAGATTGAACTGGGGTTGGCTGCACGCAAGGCCAATGCCTTAACTCCTGCTCTCTCTCTGCAGCCCCATGTATGTTATTTTTGACCCTCACACAGGGGCCTGCAGGACGGGTGACGCCATTAGACTCATTTCAAGGAGGACAGGGGCTCAGATCAGTGACTTGTTCAACATCAACCAAGGAAGTCTTTTTTTTTTTTCTGGGTCACTCCCAGGGATGCTCAGGGGTTACTCCTGGCTTTGTACTCAGGAATTACTCCCGGTAGTGCTCAGGGGACCATATGGGATGCTGGGAATCGAACCCAGGTCGGCTGCGTGCAAGGCAAATGTTCTATCCGCTGTACTATATTGCTCCAGCTCCCAACCAGGAAGTCTTTACTCCTTGGTTTATTGGTTTAGATTTTAAAGCCACGAGCTCAAATCTCAAGAGTTCAGTGATGACTCCCAGCTCAGTGCTTGGGGTCACTGTCAATGGTGTTCGGGGACCATGAGGTGCCGGGTGTGGAACCTGGGTTCCGTCCATGCAAAGCCTGTGCCCCGTCATGAATTTGTCCCTTAAAATTCATGTTCTTCCCTTTCTGCCACCTTGGGATTGATTCTCTACAGTGGCCGTCGCCATAGTGATGAGGGAGAGAGAACAAATCTCGGTACCATGTGCAGAACTGGAGTCAGGGGTGGGGTTCTGCAGGTGGTGACTGATGGCATCGGGCTAGACCTGAAGGTGGGTTGCCTTACCCAAGATGAATAGTCCGGATGTGCTTCTGGATTCCCACTGCAGTGCTCAGCACCTTCCCACAGTTTTTCCAGAGGCATTTAAACATCACCTTCATGGAGTTCTAGGAAGGAGAGAGAAAAGTTCCTTTAAAATGAAAACCAACCCATCAATATTATCCCTGTCATCTGAACATATTTTCCCCTCATTAGAACTCTTGCTGATGTCAGCACACCTCCATCCTTCACAAATACTGAACTCTGCTGGGATGTTGAGTTGACATTTACTAAGATATCACAGTGTGATTTAGGTGTGAATGATCGTTGTCAACATTTAATGAGCACAGAGCAGGTACTCTTCGAAGAAGAGTGTGTATCATTTAATCCTAGAAGAAAAGTAAGCACACTGACCCGGTTATTAAAATAATAAAAAGCTTTTTGTAATAATATGTGCACTCTTTCACATACTAAATCTCAAGGTCTTGGTGCTGGGGAGAGAGTACAGAGGTTAAGGTCTTACCCTGCCTTGCATGCAGCTGACCCTGGTTCTCTCCCTGGCATCTCTTGAGGTCTTTGGAGCACCCTGGGAGTGATCCCCAAGCACCGGAGATGAGCACGCACAACTGGGTGTGGCTCCAGAACAAAAAAAAAAAACAAAGAAAACACCAGACCTTGAAGTGGGTCTAACCACGGTGCTTTCAAAGTGGCGTTCTGCACACATGCCATCTCAGGATACATGTTAAACCACAAGGAGGTGGGAAAAGATAGAGTTTTCATAGAATCAAGTCACAGGTGGCACTGATGAGATCTGATGCCTTTGATCATCATCACTGTGGGAAGTTATAGGTGAGTGGGTCACTGTCACTGTCCTCCCGTTGTTCATCGATTTGCTCGAGCAGGCCCAGTAACGTCTCCATTGGAGACTTTGTTGTTACTGTGTTTGGCATATCGAATACGTCACAGGGAGCTTGCCAGGCTCTGCCGTGCGGGCGAGATACTCTCGGTAGCTTGCCGGGCTCTTCAAGAGGGGCGGAGGAATCGAACTCGGGTCGGCCATGTTGGCTGGCTGCGTGCAAGGCAAATGCCCTCCCGCTGTGCTATCGTTCCAGCCCAGTTGAGTAGGTAATGACAACAAACACACACCCTCGGCCGGCAACCCAAATTCACTGACGCTCTGAGTTCTGTTCACCACTTCGGAGATGTGTGTGGCTTCTGGTGTAAAGCCATGCATAGGAGCAGACTGGGGCACCTCTGTCCTGCCAAGGGCCATTTAGGTATCTCTGACCTCATTTTCAGGCCCTGCGTTATAAGCAGACAGATGCGGCTGCAGCGTGCTGGGGCAGATGCACAGCAGGAGATACAGAAGACGCAGAAGCTTGCTGACCTGATGGGCTGTGGGGCCCAGCGGTCCCCTGTTCCCCCAGGCTCGGGGCCGTTGGCAGCACACAAAGCTCTGCCCCTTCCACCGTGGCTGCAGCCTGTGCCCGTGGGGCTGCCTAGGGCCATGCCCTGCTGCCGCAGGCAGTGTTAAGTGGGGGAGAGGATGCGAAACGTCGAGAAGCAAAGACATGACTGGGAGATTTTAAAAGTACGGAATCCTGGAGGGTCTGTGCTTATTCCGAAAGCCCAGCTCATAGGCCTGAAGAAATAGTGCAGATGGCTGCAATGAACAAATCTGAGTGCCCGAGAACAGATGACTGGTTAAAGAAACTTTGGTACATCTACACAATGGAGTACTATGCAGCTGTTAGAAAAGATGAAGTCATGAAACTTACATACAAGTGGTACTACATGGAAAGTATCATGCTAAGCGAAATGAGTTAGAAAGAGAGGGATAGACATAGAAATATTGCATTCATCTGGGGAGTATAAAGTAACAAAATAGGAGACTGACACCCAAGAATAGTTGAGATAAGTACCAGGAGGTTCACTCCATGACTTCGAGGCCAGCTGCACATGCTAGGGGAAAAGGCAGCTCAGATAGAGAAGGGAGCACCAAATGAAGGGTGTTGGGAGGATCCTCCCAGGATGGGAGATGCATGTTGAAAGTAGACTATGGACCGAACACGATTGCCACTCAATGCCTCTTTTGCAGACCACAACACCCAAAAGGAGAGAGAGAACAAAAGGGAATGTCCTGCCACAGAGGCAGGGTGGAATGGGAGGGATGGGGGTGGGAGGGATACTGGGATCCGTGGTGGTGGGAAATGAGCAATGGTGGAGGGATGGGTATTTGATCATTGTATAATTGAAACCCAAGCACAAAAATTTGTAAGTCTACAACTGTACCTCATGGGGTTTCACTGAAAAAAAAAATAGTGCAGTGGCAAGGCACCTGCTTTAAACACAGCTGACCTTGGGTTCGATCCCGGGCATCACAGGTGGTCCCTGGACCCCCTACTTCCTCCAACCCCTTGGGAGTGATCTCTGAGCACAGAGCCAGGAGTAAATCCTGAACACCGCCACATATAGTTTAAAAAAAAATAAGACAATTCACACATTCTGGGCTTCATGATTTCCTGAAGCCACTGATTTAAACACGTGGAATAAAAGATGAGTGAAAGCGGATAGCTGAGATCCTGCCCCAAGTCCCAGAGATGCACTCACAGAAAGGAATTCTTAGTGTTTTTTTTAATTCAAACCATATTCATGAGCAAATTCTCCTCCTAGGAACCCTTTCTGCCCATTTACCAAAAGAGAAAAAAATAGTATTCAGTAAAAATAGCTTGCACTTAAGGGAATTAATGACTCAAACTCAAATTACAGGTACACTATAGCCCAAATATCTGTCTGGAAATCAAGCCACGTTAGATGAAATCATTTTCTGATACACTTCAAATCTTTCTGCTGGGACTATTCTTTCATTCTTGAAAACAAAATACTTCCTTTGCAAGGAATATTCTAGGTGCTAGGGGTAGAAGGCGGAGAAAGAAAACGGCTCTTTTCCAAGAACTGACATTCTTGTGTGGAGTGATGGAGAAAGTAATAATTGGTGACTGTCCGAAAAAGAAGAAGGTGACTCTCGCTGAAGGGACTGCTTTAGGTTAGATGCGACCTCTTCTGAGCCAGAAACTGCAGGTTGGGGAAACAGCCAGTCTTGGAAAGAACTAGAATTTTCCAAGTTGTGGGAAGAGTTAATGCAAAGCCTGAACATGGGAAAAGGCTTGACACATGGGCTTGACACACAGGGAGGCAGGAGAGGTCAGAGGGACTCAAGCGATGTGTTTGAGAGAAGGTATCTTATAAGGTTATCAATGAAGGAAGGAGCACGTAGGCCTTGGGCGTGAAGGTTAATTTTACAAGAGAATAAAACAGTTACTGAAAGGGTGTAAGCAGGTGAGTGACACTATATCCTTTATGGCTTTAAAAAAAAACCTTCAAATGGGGAGAGAGCAAATTAAGCTGTTGCAGGTTAGAGAAAACAATCATTTGGGCAGGGAGAATGAGCAACACAGATCCACGTCTAATAACGCTTGTGGAGGCGTTGAATATGAAAAAACGATTCAAGAGATGCTTGAATCGCTTGTTGCTGTCTTCGGGCCACACCTGGCAGTGCTCAGGGGTTATTCCTGGCTCAGTGCTCGGGAACTACTTCTGGCGGTGCTTGGGGGACCATATATATGGTATGTCGGGGATCAAACCTGGATTGGCCGTGTGCAAGGCAAACGTCCTACACACTGTACTATCATTCGAGCCCTCAAGGGATGGTAGTAGAGATGAATTCTAGGACTGGGAAAGAGAACAGCAGTCAGGGTGCACGCCTTTAGCTGAGTTCAATCCTGGTTACCACATGGGTTCCTGGAGCATCTCTGGGTGTAGCTTCTTAGGCCCCAGCATCCCTGGGGTAGGATGAGCAGTTCCTAGAAACACACGGTCCAAGAATCACATCCACAGGCATTAAACTGCATTAAAATTGACCAAGAATCTCTGGTGGGACCCCTGGTGACCGACCCTCCCCGTCTCACCCCCCAAGATAAATTCTAAACACTGGTTCTGTCTGGTTTCTTAATTTTGAGACACCTATTCCGTACCAAAGGGAGATGGCAAGTAGGACACGAGGCGTATGGCCCATGGCCCTGGAACTTCAAGAACATCTGATAAAAAGCCAGAGATATAAGTTTGGTGCCAGGAGGTTAAATTTTATTTAAAACTTTGGCCTAGTGGAGATTGTTGAAGGGAAAACCCAGCAGGGAGGTGATTAAAGGAAAGCCCTAGACACTAGCATCCAATATTTCCTCTTGGAAATGGAACAGGAGGAGAGAGGGAGGGAGTGGGAAGATGATGGAAAGAAGGGGAAAAGAAGGAGGAGGACTGGAGAGGAAGGAGGAAGAGAAGGGTAGTGGGAGGGATAGGGGGAGTGGGGAGAGGGAGGGGCTGGCCGAGGGAGGGGAAGTGGGAGAGGAAGAGAAGGGGGGGAGGGAGAGTTTGAATCAAGATGATGCTATTTCAAGAAGCGAGATGTGAGCCACTGTGTTGAACAACTGGACAAATGGAACCCTTTCTCGAATACTGCACGTGAAGGTGGCTGGGGGTCACTGACAGAAGCAGACTGCAGAGTAGTGGGGTGGACGTCAGACCTCCACCTCCACGGGGTGGAGAGTAAATGGGATTTAAAGAAGGGAGAAAGTGCAGACTTGTCAGCACTGTGGATGCATGAGTGGCTAAGGGGAGTGAGGAAAGATGAGTGGTTAATTATTATTAATTAATAATTAATAAATATATTATATATAAAATAAATAAATAATAAATAATAAAACTATTAATAATAATTAATAATAAAAACCATAGAAAGATTGCATTCATCTGGGGAACATAAAGTAATAAAAGAGGAAACTAAAACCCAAGAATAGCCGAGATAAGTACCAGGAGGTTCACTTCATGACTTGGAGGCCAGTCGCACATGCTAGGGGAAAAGGAAGCTCAGATAGAGAAGGGAGCACCAAAGAGCGGGTGTTGGGACGATCCTGACAGGATGGGAGAAGAATGGTGAAAGTAGACTATAGACCAAACATGATTGCCACTCAATGCCCCCTTTGCAAACCACAACACCCAAAAGGAGAGAGAGAACAAAAGGGAATGCCCTGCCACAGAGGCAGGGTGGAATGGGGGGATGGGGGGTGGGAGG